CCTCCACTCCTGATTGCTTGCTCCACTCTCACCAACAGAGGTAAGGGGAAATGCCTAATGCCTCCTGTGCTCCTCCGTGAAACCTAATGTCTCAGCCAATTGTAAAGACAGTAGGATTGGCACCTCGGGCTCTGTGATGTTCCCCGCTCCCATGGAACCTTTAATGTCTGCTCTCACACAGTCCACCAGGTGTTTTGAGGCTCAAAAATGAATCTCTATGCACTTGCCTGCTTCTTGCCTGCTCTCAGTTTACTCAGATCAGCAGGGCCCTACACATGCCTACTAGTCATACCACAAGTGTGATTCAGTAATACTGCCAATTTTGGCAGGAATAAGTGTAGCAGGAAATTTGGCCCTTACTGCCACTGCTCTAGGCTTAGGTCAGCAGCAATACTCACAAATAGGTGCCCTATACTGTAGTTAAGTCGTCTTAAAAAGATGACTTAACTACAGTATAGGAAGCACTCAACACACGACAGGACCAGACTGTCTCCCTGGCTCTGGTGGTCCTCCAAAACTACAGGGTTTTAGACCTCCTTACTGCTCAACAAGGAGGTACTTATTTATTTTTAAAAGAAAAATGCTGTTACTATGCTAATAAATCAGGTGTTAGAGAAACCGTTCACCAATCATGAGAATGAATCAATCAGCAAGCCTGAAACAAACAGGCAAAGGCCTATTGGTAGAACTCCCTAGGAAACTGGGATTTATGGTTGGGACCTCTATGGTTGGGACCTCTGCCTGCTCTTATCTTAATCCTAATGTTAGTACCCTATGTCCTAAACTGGTTTACCCACTGTGTCCCAGTACCTTGATCCCATAAAGCTCCAAATGCTTGACAGACAAGGACCGTATCAATCTTTAGTGACCTCCTCCCCTTAAACAAGAACACACAGTCAAGTATTTGACTAAATACAATTTAAGAGCCCCCACACTTCAGTAAGCCCTTATATATTTCTGTCTCCCCAGAATAAATGTCACCCTCTTTCCACCATATGCAAAATAGGGGAAACCAGAATGTAACTTCTTGACTAATCATGTACCTCCAGCTTATCCCCACCATATGCAATGAAGATGAACCTCAGTGTAACTTTCTGTCCAATGAATTAACAGTGAGTGCCCTGCTTTTGTGTTTTTTACTTTCCTGTAAACTCTATAAAAACTGCTCACTGAGAGGGCAGTGCCTGACTCTTTCATAAGTGATCTCAGTCAGGCCCACCAGCATAAATAAAGCTATACACTCGCCTCCAAACCACAGGTGCAACTTGGGTCTTGGTCTCAGATTGCTACAACACTTACAGTGAGTTATAACACTGTGAGCTGCAACACTTACTGTTAGCTGTAACACTTGCTATAACAACAGCATCCCGGAAGTAGAGCAAGCAAGGAAGAGTCACAGACAAAGGGGCCACAAACTAGATATAGGCCCAAGGTTATGCCCTCAGGACCAAAAGTATGCTTTGTTAATATCCCAGGCATCTCTTAGGCCAATTAGTTGACAAACAAGATTAACCATCACAAGTCCACCACTTTTCCCTTAACACCCAAGTATATTTTCTTAAACCATACTTACTTTCCAGATAGAGACAATAATAAGGTCATAATTCCACCATCATGATCTAAACTATTCTGTCTACAACTGAAAATACACTAGTACTGTCTCCCAAATCTCAACTGTCCCAGCACTGCTCTTGAAGTCTAAAATCTCTTCTGAAACTCAAGGCAAATTCTCAGTTACCAACTCCTGTAAAACTGAGAAAGTAATTGTGCTTCCAACATACCACAGCACAGGGTAAATAATACTATTCCAAAAGGGAATAGAAAGGAAATAGATGAAAACATGATTGAAATGCATTGGTGAAAACATTAAATCCTGTAGCTGACTATCAGCAACTGTGGCACATGATGGCAAGATGAGTTGCAGTGGGCTTTGGCATCTCTGTCCAATGCAGCTTTCATCAGCACACATGCCAATGTTCCTAGAATATCCAACTTCCTGGAGTCTCCTCTAGAGCATTCAGCTTTATTCATACAGCTTCATGCACTGCCCTCTCAAGGTCTCCTGGCTGGGACTCAGGACCTGTAACACACTGCCTAGCCTTACAAATCTTCCTTTGCAATTCTGGTAGAAACCTTGGTAACCTTGTAACTTATGCATTCTGTATACCTTTAAAACCAGCATCACAACACTAAAGTTTGCAACCAGTGTGAGCAGTAGCCAGGACCCCTTAGACCACAGCCTTTGAGTGCCTGGATGGCTTAGCATGATGAAATTAATCCTGAGGTATAGTCAGGTTGGAACAGGAGGCTCAGAATCTCTTCTAAAAGGAAAGGTTTATACTTTTGAGCTCTCAAGCTTGAGAAGGGTAGATCTTGTGGATGGCTGAGATGCCCTCAAAGTATGTTTCTTATTCCAGTGCAAAGTATTTGGCTTTTATTTTTATAGGTAATAAAAAAAGTTTTAGCCAGGCGTGGTGGCTCATGCCTGTAATCCCAGCACTCAGGAGGCTGAGGCAGGAGGAACGTTGCAAGTTGGAGACCAGCCTGGGCTACAAAGTGAGCTCAAGGCCAGTCTGAACTGCATAGCAAGACCCTGTCTCAAAAAGACAAAAAAAAAAAAAGTTTTAATTGGAACATTAGAGGGAAGGTATGAAAGGACTCCAGCTTGGTAGATGAAGGGAGTACACTGCAAAGTTGGGAAGCCAGCTTTCAAGGCTTTCAAGGTCATCTGAGGTCTGGTTGATTATTACCTCCGTCTCAGTGTCATAGTTCTGGAATCTTTGTAGTTGATGGACATCTGGGAGTAGCTGAACATCCTTGTACACTGCTCATTTTGTGTCCTCACTTTTGAAAGACCACGAGGATTTGGGGCTGATCAACCCTGTTCAGCCAGGTCCGAAATGACCACCAAGCCCTATGAAGAGCTGAGAAGAGATCTGACCCAAGATTTACAGTAACAGGGTCACAAATGATAGTCAAGCTTTGTCTGCTTTTAGTTACCAATTGGGCATCTGCAGGCCAAGTGAGGAGCTATGATTCACATAAAAATGGCATTTAAATTCCTGACTAACCCAGAAGAAAACAAATCATGCTGTTAATGAGTATGCAAGTAACTGTTATACTAAGATGCTGAAAAATTAAAATAATTGATTAAAAGATAATTAACAAAAAGTTACCTAAAAAGATAGTTATTAGCAATATTGTCATTCTGTACTGAGTTCGTTACCTTAGTAACCAAGCACCAACCACAGTTATAAATTAACCTGACCGCGTCGTTATGCTGTTCTGTGATGCGTCATCCCCCCCGCAACCTTAGTAGCCTGTGTGCTATGTCAATTTTTGTTCCCCTCGTAAGAGACAAATGATGCTGTGTCAACCATTGTTCCCTTTCTGAGAGACAAATGTTCCTGGAATTGGCAGACCAAGGGCTATGAGTTGGCTAACCACCCACTGTGAAATGCCTCTGACCTCAAGCAAAGGGGAACAAAGGCCCACCTTATTTCTGTTTCTCATCACTATGTACTTAATGATCAATGAGCTAATCATAAATGAACTATAAAAATCAGTCAAAACTCTAACTCAGTTGCACAGCTTTGCAAATTCCATCTGGACTGTGTCACTGGGCCAACTAAAATAAAAGCACTTCTTCCTAAAAATGACGTCGTTCTGCCCCATCTTTTCCATCTCAGGAGTTTTGCCCCCTTTTTCATCTCAGGGGCCTTTTTGGGGAAGTACAACAGTAACAAAGGGCCCAGGATTTTGCCTGTCCTCCACGTTCTTTGACTATGTCACAACAGTCATTCCCCTGAAATGTTCTTTTATTCTTTTTTTTTTTTTTTTTTTGCACTGGGAATTGAACTTATGATCTTGTGCTTATCAGGCAGGCGCTGAACTACATCCTTTACCTGACAGGGCTTCTTTTTAATAGTACTAATCTCTTCAGCAACTACAGTTATTTTGGCTCCGACTTTACACACACTTTTTTTCTGGCTAAAATTTAAGTTTTTCAAATATTTCTGCTCTGCTTTTTGCTCCTGATTCTCACTATAAGCCTGGTAAAAACAGTTAGCAGTACCCATGCCACAGCCTGAACTGTACTGCCTTGAAATGTAGATCAATTAGTCTAGCCAGGTGTAGTGGCTCATGCCTATAATCCCAGCACTTTCGAGGCTGAGGTAGGAGGATAATTGTGAGTTGGAGACCAACCTAGGCTACAAAGTGAGCTCAAGGCCAGCCTGAACTGCATAGAGAGACCCTGTCTCAAAGAGACAAAAAAAAAAGAAAAAAATTAGAAAGAAAAAAGAAAAAGTCTATTGCCCTTAAGCTTAGCCTCAGACAAAGTTTTATGGCATGGACAAAATGTACACAAGTTCTTTGCCAGGATATAACTTACATGGCCTCTAGTCCAATTCCTGAAACAATCTTTACTTCCATTTGAATTCTCTAGAAGAGACTGTATATTCTGCTGATACTGAGCTTCCACCAGAAGTGCCCATCAAGCTCTGCTTATAGAACTCTAAAGCTGCTATAGCCTGCATCTGCAAACATTCCAGAACTCTCCTGCAAATAATTTCTAAAGGCTCCTGAATCAATGATCCGGTATAGTCATAGTAATAGGCCCACTTTCCCACTAACAATTTTCTATAACAGTTTTTCCATTGCTGGGTCAAAATAACCTGCCACATGCAACTTAAAGGAAGAGAGATTTTGACTTTATAGTATTAGACCATAATTAGCTGGCTCCAAGCCAGAAACATCATCATGAGGGTATGGTAGAGAAAAGCTATAACTCACAGCATCCAGGAAGCTGAGCAAAAAAGGAAGATCCAAAGAGCAAAGATCAGGGACTCAATATAGTCCATGCTCTCATGATCCACCCACAAGCGTGCTTTACTAATCTCCTAGGTGTTTCTCATGCCAGTCAAGTCGACAACTGAGATTTTTCTCACAACAGCTATCAGCAAAACCCAGTGTTCTCATGAACAGAGGCTGATACCCACCCTGGCATTGAGGTCATCTCCAAGCAGAGTCTGCAGGAGGGCAGGCAGCTGCTTATCCAGGTGGAGTTTCCGGCACAGCTGGATCAGCTCCTCCAGGTCCAGAAAGCCTGTCCCTGTGGTATCACAGCTGTTGTAGACATCCTTGAGCTGTGAGATGTAGTAACTGTCTTCTTCATCCATCCCATAGCAGGCTGGCCTTGGCAGGGGAAAAGAAAAGCATCAGGACAAGTTTCTTGCCACTACACATGTTCCTGAACTGCTGGACAAGTGCAGGAGCAGAGCTGACACATGAGAAAAGAGTTAGAGCTTTTCCAGACCCGGTGTGCTGGAAGGGCATGGCCTCGTTTGCAGGAGAGACAGAGCACGCTGGCAGGGACAGCAAGGATGGGAAGCCCTTCACCATCAGTCACCAGAACCAGAATGTCTCTGTTGTGTGTGTGTGTTTTTTTTTAAATTCTATTACATAATTACTTGAAAACAGAGCTAAAGATGAAAGGAAGGAGCTGGGCATGATGATGCACACCTGTTATTTCAGCAGTCAGGAGGTTGAGGCAGGAGGATCAGAGTCTCTGAGGCCATCTGGGACTACAACGTGAGTTCAAGGCCATCCTGAACTGCATACTGTCTCAAAAAGACCAAAAAAAAAAACCAAAAAACAAAAAACAAAAAAACCACCCACAAGATGAAGGGAAGGGATAGGAGAGGGAGCTAAGAACAAACAACACTAAAATCATCCAAATTCCTATCACCTATATAAACTATTATTAATATTTTGGTGTACCTGCATTCTAATTTTTCTGTAGAAATCTAACAATGCAACTTTTTATCACAAATTGAAGTATTTACTTACAAAATAAGTTGTAAAAAATTAACTAAATTCCAATAAATAAAATTGCTTATCAGGAAAGATGGAAGCGCCAATAAATATACAGTCTCCAAAAATATACAAAGACTATTAATAAATTCAACAAGAAAATAATGTATTTAATAACAACCTAAAAGTGCTAAAATTAAAATAGATACCATTATGTTAAATTATTCTGACTAAAACCTTCCAGTCCTAGTAAGTAATCATAAGAAGGGGATCTCCCACAATGCTGTAGGAAGGTCAGCCATAAACACTGAGGGAAGTCATAGTGTCAACATATCAAGAAACTTTACACAGTACTCTGGGAGGCTGAGGCAAAGGGGATCACAAGTTCTGCCCAGCATAGGCAACTCACAGACTTACTGAGATTCTGTCTCAAAATAAAAAACAAGGACTTCCAGGAAAATGGTAGAACAGTGAGCAACAGAGAAAGAACCTCTCCAAGTTTCGGTGGACGAGAAAGAGGAGGAGGAAAGAGGTGGGTCCCATGGACAGAGGAAGAATGTGAACTGAGACTTAAAGCCCATGGAGACAGGTAATTCAGGAATTCACAAAAATAAAAATCTTTTTAAAAAATTGGTGCAACAGAACTGCCAGATGGTGAGAAATGGTAAGGAAACAACTCGGCCTACACACACTGTGTGCTGGGAGAGGCCCTGTCTGCTGGGGAGAAGCAGCAAGGAAGCTGTCTCCACCTGCAGCCGCCTTTCTCCCCCATAAGCAACCAGACACAACACAGGCTGAGAGGGTAATGACTGAAGTAACTGAAGTAGGGAAGCAACCTGACATTTATGTTGTTTGACTTTGCAGGCCTGGGGCCAACAGTCTGGTAACTATCTAGAGGATAACAACATGTAACATAGTAACAACTGTGGATTTCCTACTGTCCTATTACACTTTTGTGTTGTTACATTTCACCATTGTGTTTTACTCCCTTTAAATTTTTAAAAAAAAAGAGGGGACTAAGAATGTAGGTTGGGGTGAAGGTGCTGGGTTCAACCTTATACTTCCAAATAATAGTAATAGTAATCATAAAACGAAACTGTAAAATAATTCACAAACATGAAACAATAAAGCAACATCTTTTATAAGGGCCCAGCAAGACACATGTTGATTTAACACAAACTGTGCTGCTCAAGTGCAGGTGGGATGGTTTATACTGCCATCCCTGTGCAAGATGGGGAGGTGTGAGTGGAAACTCTGTGGAACCAGGATGGATCTTCACAGTCACAAGACCCTAAGGCTGCAGATACGAGTGGCTTATCTGACCTCTTGAACACCTCTCGGTGACTATAGATCAGCCAGTGTATATACCAAGGACAAACAAGCTCGGCTGGGAGCTCAGCTTCCCAAGCATGTGGCCATGCATAAGGGGACACCCTCCTTCCTAATCAGAAGACACTCCTCAGTGGCAACAGGTGACAGGCTGGGTAGAGGGGTGTGCAGTGACTTGGCCCCTTTACCTGGTGTAGCCAACTGCAAAAACCATCCAGACAGGAAATCAACAGGAAAATGTGATTCATCAAACTGCAAACCAAACTTCCCAGAGACAACACAGTCCAACCAGGTTGTACCTGCTAAGTGGGACTGACACACTGCCTTACTTTTCTGAATTATGCAGAGCTGCTCCTGTTTGCAAATGCTAGCTCGTAACAAGCCAGGTGCTCACCGGCCAGTGGTACACACGCCAACTTGGGTGAAATGCTGTCACAGTCCAGAATGGAATAGAAGACAAGGAGCGACAAGCTTGAGTTTTGGTCTCTTCCTCTGAGTGGATGAGCCTGTGACTTCCTAACTCAGGGAACTTTGTTTTCATTCAGTTTTCTTCCTCTGTGAGAAGTGGCCAGATGCTACAGAGCTCCTCACGTACATGCCTATGCCATTCTAAAAAAGAAGAGCCCAGCACAGGCCCAGAAAAGTAGAGGGTCTTGTGAAAATAGTACAAAGCTTATTTTTATTTTTACCTGAAAGGAATTACACTAAAATATGCTTTCCAGAGTTCCCTCAGTTCGCACCTACCCTTGGGTGAGGAATTCTTGACCTCTGGGCATGGCATGGGTGGTGAGAAGCCACTGGGTGTCCCCACCAGGAACTCAAGACCCTGCCAGAGGGGCCCGGACTTCAGCTCCCAGGGTGCTAAGTGGGGCTGGTGGGAAACTTAGGCATAGCAGTAGAAGCAGAGTTATGCTGGCTGAGGGCTCTCGGGGATGTTGTAAGGTGGAAAATCCCTCTGACCAGCCTTCAAAGTCTGGTCAAATCATGGGCACTGCTTTTCTGTGTTAGTTACCAAAATGTATATGAAGTGGCCTAGGCAGTGTGTTAGCACCACAAATGGCTTGCAGAGGTCCCACAGTCTGAGCAGGATCCTGTGCAGGTGGTGACAGCATCAGCCAGATGGCCACATTCCTGCTACCAGGGTCAGTGGAGGCCAAGCAGCAGGTCCCTGTGACTCACAGGACTCTTCCTGGCCATGAAAGTCAGCTCCAAGCCGATGCAGACACTGCCAGCATCACTACACAGCTGGAGATCCAGTGCCTCGTCCTGGCCCTTGCTGTGAGACCTGGGGACCCCTGCACAGCCACCCCAGGCTGCTGTGCTCTGACTGGTCATAGCTTCTATGCCTCAGCTTCCCACCATTGCCATGGTGACCAAAATACCTTGCTGGCCACTGGAGACCTCAAGACTCCCATGCCAGCCATTACAGATGCAGCTGCAGAACGTGGTAGATGCTTCCTGCAAGGAAGCCACTCCGATGCTACTGCTTCCTGTGGTGCTGGCACCAATAACCCCAGAGGCCTGTTCCCACCCACAGGGGGATCCTGTTTCCAGAAGCTTACCCACCTGCTCTCCACCCTCCTGAGAAGAGCAGTCAGCTGAACCCAGAGCACAGGAACCAGGTGTCCTCTGTTCAGACTCCCCAAGGGTAAGAATACCACCACATCCTTCAGCTTCCCACCCCCTCAACCCTGGAGAACCCAAGAAACAAACAGCCAGGCCACCCTAGCCTGAGGCAAGAGCTCTGCCCATCTTTCCCCAGGCCTGCTGGTGCCTGGCCTCTGTAGGTTCTCAAGTATGCCTCAAACAGAGAGCTCTGTCATAAATAACAAACACTACTTACCTGGGCAGTCTAGAGGCCTCTTTGGTTTCTTCTTCATCAAAACTGAATTATTTATCTAACTCTCCTCAGGAGTTCACACATGTTTAAGATGTGCCCATATCAAACCACATGAAAACTTGGCCTGCCTGCAGCAGCCAACTGCAGAGCTGGAGACAATGTTCTAAATAAAGAGCAACACCTGGTTTCTCAGGTTTATTTTTTTGAATTTGAAATGAGTAAATTTTAATAGCTCTGATGTCAGAAGGCTTAAGTTAAAATTTAAACATTAAAATGCTGCTGCATTAGGTGAACCAAAATCCTGTTTTCATCCTGTGTCCAAAGAAACTACACAATGCCATAGAGACAAATGTCCTGGGCCACCATTCAGCAAGACAGCGCAGCCCTCTGGAGGCTGAGACGTTAGGTGTTAGTTTCCACTTAATTTATGCACAGCACTGAGGGAATTTAATCTGCCCCTGAGAGTTCACCAGGGGCCCAGAATATGGCTGCAACGGGAAGCAGACCAGCACCTCTGCAAGTCTGCTCACCCTGTGTGGAGGAGACCAGGAACAGCCTTCAAGACGGGTGTAAACTGTAGGGAGAGAATGTTACACCCAATAAAATGCTGAAGCCAGCTTTTGGTTCTAGCCCAGCAGCTTCCAGCAGCCTCACGCTCTATAATCTACCTTCACACTTCAGCAGTTCTGAGCAGCTGGAATTCATTTCTGCATTAATTGGTTTCTTGTTTTCCAAAATGTATGCTATTTACTTACTTTGCTTATATCTCCGTAGTAAAGTTCACAACCTATGGTTTTGGCTCTTTGTGTGATGCTGGATGTAGAACCCAAGGCCTCACACTTGTGAGGCCAGCACTTACAACTAAGCTGTACTCCACGCCTGAAAGCTGTGTTTGTCAAATAAAGCTTAACAAGCTCTCTTTTTTATTGTTCCAGTCTCAACAACACAAAAATAAGCTGATTCCTCATTTGTTACTTCTTTTTTCTCCCTACAAAGTAGTTTTTAGATCAGAAACTGTAAGGATATCAAGGTTTGAACTGTTTTGGAAAACCTACTGTTCTTAGTTCTAAAGTAGTCATCTTGGTCTGTTCGGACAGTGGACTCTGATGTCAGAGTCCCCTTTTAAAGGGAGCTCTGTGATGCAGGACAACTTACTTCACCTCACTGGGCTTCAGTTATCTGATGTGAACAACTTCACTAGGACCTTATGAGAAACGAAAGAGGTCCCGCTAAACAGGTAACATGTTTACCTGTGCTGTGGCCCTAAGCACACCCACAGCTGTGCAGGCAGACAATCTCCACTTACCCGGAACATGCAAGATTAATAATCATACACTAATAATCTTGCATGTTCAAATTCTACATCAACTTATGTAAATAAAATTTTTATAACCACGTATACTTTTGCGCTAAGATTACAGCTACTGATACAAATTTTTTGTCCATACACACAACTGCAAAATAGCTACTCAATAATCCACATGTGGAGTTTGCACATGCAGTTTTAAGTATATAAAAGGAGCTTTCTATGAATCATCATTACAAATATAGAAATCTTTACACTCAGTAAAGATACCAGTATCTAACTTAAATTCAACTAAAAGTTCTACTGTAAAGAAAGCTCTGGTATCACTTTCTCCCTTTCTTTCCTTCCTCCCTTCTCTAGAAAGAGTCATTAAGAATGTAGAAGAAATTATAGGCTTGGAAAAATGCAATTTTTGCAGCCATATAACCAAGAACATTCAGGCAGTCCTAGGGACAACCCTCCACCAAAGCAACCAAGCTACTGATTAACATCATTAACATCATTACTTCCAAATTCTGAAGCCAGATCACATACATAACAACACGAGAGGAGAGCCAGATATCCTTGTAAGGGGTGTTGTGTCCTGCCACCTCCCACTCTGTAGCCACACTAGTACAGTGACAGTGTGGCTCTCCATCCCTGGAGAATCTGGCCATTGCCAGGTGATCTGTGGGACCCTGGCCTCCATGACATGATTGGGCTGGCAACTCCTAAGGGACTGCAGCAGACACCTGCCTCGCTTTCACATTCCAGGCTGCAGCAGGTGCCCTCAGAAGCATGTTCTAGAAGACACTGAGACAGGAACATCCTTTGGGGACAGAGGCCTTTGCCAGATTGTGGCTGACCCAGAAGAAAAATTTCAGTCACCAAATACAATAACGATTGCACAATTTGCAAAATAGCACTGCAGCCCTCAGTCAGTAAAAATCTTTAATCCTGAGGAGTGGCTGAATCAGAATTTTAGCTCTTAAGAAGAAATTACTCAGCATACAAAGAAACAAGAAGGTGCACATGGCCCATTCACTGGGGAAAATGGAAAGAAATCTATTTGAACGTGAGGAAGATCGGATACTAGAATTGTTTTTAAAAGATGTTAAATCAGCTGTAATAAATAATTTCAATGACCTAAAGAAAACTATGGACAAAAACTAAAGAAAATTAGGAAAATAACATTGAACAAGATAAAAACATCAGTAAGGAAGTGGAAATAACAACAACGAAAAAACAAATATGCTAGAACTGAAAAGCACAATAACTGAAGTGACACATTTATTAGCAACATTTTTGAGCAAGCAGAACGAGCAGTGAGTATAAAAATAACACAATTAAAATTGTATCCTCCCAAAAAACAAGAATAAAAAAGGATAAAAATAGTCTAAAAGTCTGATGACCAATAAGAAAAATGGTACCAAAAATATAACCTGAAATTTCTCATTTTGATGAAAGACATTCATACAAAGGTTGAAGAAAATAAAATCTCAAGAGAGATCCCTATCCTGAGGGACATTATGATCATACTGTTGAAACCCAAAGATTGATTATGGTTTATATCTAAATGCCACTCCCCCAAAGCTTCATGCACTAGAATCACGGCTTTAGTCATTTGTCCAACTTTTTCTACTTGACCCCAGGCAGAGGTCTAAATGACCTAATCTTATGCAACACATTGTATTTTCCAGCTTTGTAAGAATATATCAGTTGCTGGGATCTTATTTCATTAAAAAGCTTTTGCATAGCAACAGAAATCACCAACAGAGTGAAAAGACAACCCATAATGTGGGAAAAAATACTTGCCAGCTGTTCCTCAAAGAAGTACTATTGAGAACATATAAATAATTCAAAAATTGCAGTCCTCCCAGATTTAAAGTCCTCCCAAATGCAAAAATGGGATATCAGATGAAAACACACTTCTCAGATGAAGAAATATGAACAACAAATAAATATGTGAAAAATATATTCAATATCACTGGTCATTCAAGAGATGCACATCAAATCAACACTGAGATTCTGTCTCACCCAAGAAAGAATGGTTACTATCAAGAAATCAAGCAACTTGCCCTGAATGAAGGCCAGCAGCTTCCTGACACTGTTGGTTTCTAACTGGAGCCTAAAGAGATGTCTTTCTATGGTCTACTGGCCATTTCAGAACTTGGGCGGTGAAATGGTCAATTCATTAGAAAGAAACAGCTTGAAGCTTGAAGCAACTGTGACCCACGCCACACTGGGATCTGGAGCGCCAGAAAACCAAGCAAACACCCCACCCCACCCCCGTGAGCGGCTGTGAGTGTGGTAGGCTGTGGCGGCCCAGGACTGGAGACACTAGCGTTTATTGGGACCTGTGCCATGCTGGGACCTGGAATGCTGGGAAACCAAGCAGTCCCTTCCCCCTTGCTTGTTTTGTTTTGTTGAACTTCAATATACATGAAAGTTGAACAGCTATTTTGAAGAGAACGAGAGACTCTACCACTGCCATTAGTGACTTCCTATTGTCTGGTTTTAAAGACCTAAAACGCCTTCCTCATTCTGTTCAGATCAGTTTTATACTATGTCATTTTGTATGAATTCTCTGTATGTGAAGACATGGACAACTATTTGGAAGAAAACAAGAGACAATATCATAGATAGTGAAGATCTCAGGTCATCTAGCTTTGAAATTTTTATCTTTTACATTGCTTTCTTATGTCCTATTTTGTTCTGTTTTGTTGTGTTTAATTTTACCCCCTTTAAAATAAAAACTAAAAAAATTTTTAAAAAAAGATATCAAGCAATAACAAATGCTGGGAGGGGGGACCTTTCTCCACTGTTGCTAGGAGTATTCACTGATGCAACTACTGTGGAAATCAGTGTGGAAATTCCTCAAAAACTAGGATTAGATTTCCTAGTCCATTCAGCTATTCCCCTTCTAGGTATCTTCTCTAAAGAACTGAAAATATCATGCCACAGTGATATATGTGCATCCATGTTTATAGCAGCACAATTTGTAATAGCTAGATCTTGGAAACAATCTAAATGCCCATCAACTAAGGAATGAATAAAAAAGATGTGATTTTTTATATAATAGAGTATTACTCAGCCATAAAGAAGGATAAACTGGAGACATAGGTAAGTAGATACAACTTGAGACCATACTCATAAGTGATATAACCTAGAAGCACATGTGTTAATATCATATTATATCCCTAGTGTGAGAAGCTAAAACAGTAAAGAAGATCCAAAATATACAACAGATCTTGTAAAATGGGAAGATACTGTTCAAAAGGAAAGATACACACACAAGACAGTTAAAGTTATACTAGCAAGTTCTCTTAGCACACTGAAAAGAAAGTTTTGTGCTAATTTGTTTGGATAGTTAAATGCCTATGTCTTGTGCTCTGATAATTTAAAGATAACAATACACAATGTATTAACTATTGTTATTCTCTTAATACCTTGTTTTGAAATTGTTTTTTGGGGGGCTGGGGATTTAGCTCAGCGGCATAAGCACCTGCCTTGCAAGCAGGCAGTCGTGAGTTCGATCCCCGGTACCAATAAAAAAAAATTGTTTTTTTCTCTTTAAAATAACATTTAAAAGTACATATCAGTTGGTTTAGTCAAGACTGCAGTGCCTTTACACATATATTTACCACTTTTCCTTTGGCTTTTTCATCCTTAAACTTCTGATTTTCCATTTTGCTTACCTTTTATTTTCAATCATGTTAAACTATTTTATAAAAGGACTGACTAACTTTGCTATGCACCAAGGCCAGCTGTCTCAGTCCGCTGTGGACAGAGGGGGACAGAGGCATCCCTGGCTTTCCCTTGTCTCTGTGAGTGACCTGTGTGAGATCCCTGAGGCTCCTTGCAAGGCTGAGGCTCCTGCTGGAAAACAAAACTATTTCAAAACACGCTGACTAGAATATAATAAATGTGCTGATCAAATAAGCAGAAATTAAAAGCATTAATAACATTTATTTAATCTCCTTAGAACTAATTAGGATTTTAAAAAGTCTTAAAGAAGCTGACCAAACAAATACAGAACTGATGCCTCTTTTCTCTTAAACTTGTGAGCATGGAGATTCATTCAGAATTATTTTCTCCTCAAAGAAGTCACATTCCTTTCTTGCTCCCTCAGATTCTCCGAGGAGATGCTGCAGAGAGGCCCGGTCCCCCGGGGAAGTGTGCTGAGGGAACTGCAAGCTACAGCATCCAAGCGCAGTTGTTTTCTGAGAACTGCAAACACACAGCAGTAAAAGGACCGCCTGTAGCCATTTCCACTTAGAACAAAAACATGAACTCAACCTGGAGCATGAACTATCTGTCTCCCAACCAGGCACAAAGACAAGACTCAGGCTCATGCGCCTACTTTTCCCAGTAAGGGTGTTTTGCTTTGAAGGCCTTGTAATATTCTCCAGGGTTTTACATATTTCATAATACTTTTGCTTTTTAGCAATTACCTGTAGCGTTCTTTCTGTCGCAAGAAGCCTGCACGGCCTCAGTGGACCTAAGATCGCTGTGTACTGATGATTGTGGGCCTTTAGAGACCGGCACCCAGGAGCCTCGTCTTTGTGGATGAAGCCCACAGAGGCTCCACCCAGCCCAGGGACTCACATGGCCAAGTGCAGGGCTCTATTCACCCTCCGCCAAGAGGCATAAATCCCATAAAGGTCTGGAGACAAGAGTCAGAGAAGAGCCATACCTCTCGAATCACACCTGACCCCCTCCTGTCACACCAACCCTAGGTGGTAAGAAATTCTCCAGCTGGCTAGAGTGGCAGAGGGCAGTGTTAGGCTAAGGGGGGCAGATGGGCCTACGTGGGCGTGGGCGTGTGTGTGTGTGTGTGTGTGTGTGTGTGTGTGTGTGCGCTATGTTAAAAGGGAAGCTGAGTGTGATGATGCACAGCTGTAATCCTAGAAATCTGAGGTAGGTTGATTACAAATTTCAGACCAGCTGGGCAATTTAGCAACTTAACGAGAGCCAATCTCAAAATATAAAATTTTAAAAAGGGTGGATAGGTGATTCAGTGCAAAACCCAGGAGTTCAATCCCAAGTAGTAAAAAAAAGAAGTACATGATGTGGACACACGCAGACACAGAGAGCTTGTTCCTTATTTAAAGAGAGGCCTTAAAGAGAGTATGTATGCCCAGGAGCTTGAACCCAGGCTGGGCAACATGGTAAGACCTGATCTCAGCAAAGGGGAGGTATGTAGAGAAAAGCCAGATGCAAAACAGCATCACTCATTCACATATACTCACTGGGCACCCACCACGTACCTCACACCACCCAGGACCTCAGACACTACAGCAACACGGACAAAATCCATGCCTGGGGGCACATATTCCAGTAAGAGGACACGTGAAAAATGCACAAATCACATTTTAGATGGTGCTAAGTGTGTTGAGAGAAGCAGGGAGAAACAGGGAACAAGGTAGCCAAGAAGCCACACAGAAAGGGGCCTCTACTCAAGCCTATGCCTGCAGGACACCCAGGAGGTACTCCTCCAGTTAGGCCAGGCTAGGCAAGGCCGCTACACAACCAGCCACATGGCCTCACATGCTCAGGCTCCCTGCATTAGCATATGTGGGTCAGCGTTCCATGGCGACAAAATACGCAAGACAAGCAACCTAAGAGACGAAAGGGTCTCAGAGCTTGGAGGCTCCAGGCCAGGGTCACTGGACTGTGTGCCCTGGCAGGAAACGCTGTCTACTCCATTAAACTGACAGTTAAGTTTGAATGTGAGTGATTTCATGGTTTTACTGGTATTTGAATGATACATATACTCTAACTGCACAGGTGAATAACAAATACAGAGCCTATCTGCGGTATTTTGGGAAAAGTCCTTCCAAGGCCCATGTGTGAAAAGGCGCCAAAGGTGGGCCCTAGTGGGTCACTGGGGCCATGTCCTTCCAGGGGACATTGGACTCCTGGCCCTTTCTTCTCTCTCTGCTTCCTGGCTACCGGGACACACCGGCCATGAATGCTTAATGATCATGGACTAAAAAAGCCTGTTTTTCTTTTACTGTGATTACTCAGGTAGTTTGCTATAGTTGTGGGGTGCTGACTAACACTATTCTACAAACCTGATTTTGTGAGAAATGCCAGGTCTTTTTTTCCGATTAAATTAAAACCAATTCTGGAACAGCAGGAAGCAAATTTCCCTTACTGGGATTCTGAAGGCCACATTTCAGGTCATCAAAAGTTATAGCATCTGATGAGGGCTTTCTCATCTGCCGTCTCCATGGCTGCCACCAGTGGGTTCTCTGTCTGTGTGCGATGCTATGATCCCATGGCTTCCTTTTTTTCCCCCAGTACTGCGATTCAACCACGGCCTTTGCACTCAGCTACATTCCCCAAACCTGCTTTTATTATTTTTTTTTTTAAGTATTTTGAGACATGGGCCAGGGAATCTGCCTCAGCGGCATAAATGCCTGCCTAGTAAGCATGAGGTCATGAGTTCAATCCCTGGTACCAAAAAAACAAAAAAATTTTGAGACGGAGTCTCACTAAGTCACCTAGTTACAAAGGCTGGGCTCGAATTTACAAACTGCCTGGGCCTCACTCCTGCCTCAGACTCTGAATTAGCTGGGATTACAGATATGACTACCCCACCTGGCTGCTTACTTTTAAATATTTCATCAGCACAGACAAATGTGTGCGCTAGTAGGACTGAGCCACCAACCAGACGGAAGCAGCAACTACCAAGGAAGGACAGGCTGGGTGGCCAGTCTGGCCTTTAAATGGGAAGCCTATGCTGAAAGGGGCTGCTGCAGACTCACTGGGAATGGACAGCACAATGAATGCCAACAATGGGGTTTACTGGGGAAACTCAGGTTCTCAACTGGCTGATGAATGTTAAAAAGGGACTCTTACTGGCGAAACAGAAAGTTCTAAGCAATATGGGTATATTTGATGGCCATGCATCACCCTCGGAGGACAAGCATCTAAGAAGTCAGTAATCTAACCTCTAAATGTCCTGTGTTCAGTCACTGAGTCTGATAGCTGTAGGCCTTGGGTAACCAACTCTCCCTGATCTCTTGTTGTAGGACCCTAGGTGAGGTCATGTTTGGGGACAGGAGACAGAAAACACCTGGGAAAAGGAATTCGACTCCACAAGGATGATCCCCTAAGACCAGGAAAGTATGAAGGCTGGAGAGAGATCTTCAGTTCACCTCTTGTGATCCTGAGAAGTGACAGCACTGGGAGCAGGAAGATTAATAGCTTTTGGACCACAGGAGGTCCTGATGTGGAGCAGCAAGGTTAGTGGCTCACGCATTGCTGAAGGAAGCTGGGCCTTGGACCAGGGGAATTTGAAGCTTCTGATGTTCACAGCTACAGTCAACCTTCAAGACAAATTAACCCCTAGCTAGAGAAATAAAGGTCTGTCACTTTAGTTCCTACAAACTAAGACACCAAACCTGACTCATGACAAAAAACTACAAAGTACACAAAAAGCCAGAAATAACACAGTCAGAACCAAGTCAAGTAAGGCCTACAACTATCAGACTAAAACTTTAACATTAACGTGCTGGGGTTTGAGTGGAAAAGGGGGGACAATATGTGAAAAATGATGCTAAGATATGGACACTGTGAAAAGAAACCAAAAGGAAATGTTAGAAATCAAAAACACTGCAACAGAAATGAAAAATGCCATTTTATGGGCTTGTTAGTAGTAAAGGAAAGAATCAGGCAGCTCCAAAAGGTCAACAGAAAGTCCCCAAACTGAAAAGGAGAGAAAAGAAGGATGATGATGATGACAATGACAATGATGATGATGATGATGATGATGATGTGTGTGTGTACACACACACGTGCCAGAATATCCAACTGTAAGATAATTATAAAAATGTAACATGTGCATAGCAGGAATCTAAAATAGGGAAGAGAAGGAGAAAATGAAATATTAGAAGTAATAATAATTGACAGTTTGCCCAAACAACAGTTCCCAAACCACACAGCCAAGAAGTCCAAAGAACACCAAGCAGAGAAGAGCAAGCATAAACAAAAACAAAGGCAAAACACACAAAACCTACAACTGCACCTACCATGTTCAAACTGCAATCAACTGAAGACAAAGAGAAAATACTGAAAGAAGCCAGAATGAAATCTGTCTTCCCTGCAGAGTTGAGCAAAGTTAAGAATTACATTTGAGCCGGGGATATAGCTCAGCAGCACTAGCGCCTGCCTGGCAAGTGCGAGGTTGTGAGTTCAATCTCCAGTACAAAAAAAAAAGAATTACATCTAAATTCTCCACAGAAATCATGAATGAAAACAAGGGTGGAATAAAACCAAGTGTTGTGAGAAAAGGCAACAACCTGTAATTCGGTAGCTAGAGAAATTTCTTCTTCAAATTAAAAAGATAAAAACTAAGACTGGTAGACTGGCTTTGCAAAATAAAATGTCAAAAAACATGTAAAGTACTTTAAAAAAATAAGAAAAGAAGTACACAGATCAGAAACTTAGGGCAACATAAAAAAATAGAAAATACTGGATTCTTAAATCCTTTAAAACATGTATGATAACTGAAAGCAAAATTCGTAACACTGCAATAGTTTTCAAGGAGCACAGATGTACCCTGAAAAAATAATGAAGATAAAATAAAATACTTTATTTGTCTTATTCTTAGTTGATCTAATATATACCTGTTCAAAATAACAGCAGCAATGTATTGGGCAGTTATGACTGGTAGATAAGTGACTTAAATGACAGCAGAGTTAAGAGCAATAGTAGGGCTGAACTGAGGTGCTATGAGATGCTGCATTACCTATGAAGTGCCAAAATGCTCTTTGAAAGAGCATTATATTACTTGTAAATGTTTACTGCAATATTTACAGCAACCATTAAATTTTTTTCAAACTAAATTTAAAAACATGTTTCAAAAGAAGATTTGATGTACTAAGAAAAAAGGAGAAACAGATAATACAAAATGCTCAGATAAAACCAGAGAAGGCAGGCTAGGGATATGGCACAGTAGTAGGACCCTCGGTTCAACCCCCAGCACTGCAGAGAAAAGGTTTTAGGAAACAGAGTACAAAAAAAGACTGAACTATACATGACTGTATAAGAAACTCATATGAAAGACACAGGTTAAAAGTAAAGACATAAAGAAAGATAAAGCATGCTAATGCTAAATGTTAATTAGAAAGCTAGAGTAGCAATACTGATTTCAGAAAAAGCTCATTCAGAATGAGGAAAATTATAAGGAACAAAGAAGAGTATAGTCTAATAATAAAGAAGACACAACAATATCTGACATTCATGTACCTAACAACAAAGCATCAAAGTACAAGAGGCAAAATCTGATCCAAGTGCAAGGAGATAGATCCACTCTGTTTGCTGGAGATTTCAGTACACTTCTTCAGTAACTGATGTACCCTCCAGATAGAACATCATTATGCACATAGCTGAACTGAACAGCACTGTCTGATAGTCAAGCTTAAAGGACAAGCCTAATGGACATAGTACCTCACGAGAAATCACCAGTACTCATAGAACACAAAAGCATAATACACATTCTCCTCAAAATCATATGGAACATTCACCAAGCTGTTCCATACTCTGGGTCATAAAATCATAAAACATATATCGACAAAACTAAAGGGATGGGGGCTGGAGGTTTAGCTCAGTGGCATAATCACCTGCCTTGCAAGCAGGCAGTCGTGAGTTCAATCCTCGGTACCGATAAAAAAAAAAAAAAAAAAAACTAAAGGGATGAAAATCATACTAAATTATGCTATCTGACTGGAATGGTGTTAAGTTAGAAAAAAATACCTGAAAGATACTGGAAAATCTCCATGTACTATAGTTGGAAATTAACAGACTTCTCATTAAACCTTTGGTCAAAGAGGACATGTCAAGGTAAATTGTAAAATAATATTAAACTGAATGAAAATGAAAATGTGGTCTAGGGGCTGGGGATTTAGCTCAGCAGCATAAGTGCCTGCCTTGCAAGCAGGCAGTCGTGAGTTCGATCCCTGGTACCGGTAAAAACGAAAAAGACCAAAAAAAAAAAGGAAAATGTGGTCTATAAAATTCTGTGAGCTGCAGCTAAAGCAGTTCTAAAATGCAAATCTCTGTAAAGAAAAGCTTTTATAAGAAAAGTCTCAAATCAACTATCTCAGCTTCTACCTCAAGAAACCAGAGGATCTAAATGAACTTGAAAGCACAAGAATGAAAATAATAAAAAGGAGAAATCAGTGAAATTTTAAACAGAAACATAAGGGGCTGGGGATATAGCTCAGCAGCATAAGTGCCTACCTGGCAAGTGCGAGGTTGTGAGTTCAATCCTCAGTACCAAAGAGGGAGAAAAAAAAAACCAGAAAAGTAATAAAAAAGAACCAAACACAAAGTTGGTATTTTGAAAAGATCAATAAAATTCATAAACATCTAGCAAGACTAATATCATGGGAAGGGGAGAAAATATATATTGCCATTACTAGGAATACAAGAATCTCTTTACATATTCTACAAACAATAAAAGGAAAATAAAGGCATGCTGTAAACAAACTACACACATACAAAAGCAACAACTTAGATTAAATAGAGCAATTCTTTGAAAAGCACAAACTATTGCCAACTTCCCCAATATGAAATAATATGAACAGCTGCCCTACATATATTAAAGAAACCGAACTTATAAAAACTTACCAAAAAGAAATCTCCAATCCCAGATAGCTTTACTAGAAAAATTATATTAAACATTTAAATGATAACACCAATTTTATATCTAGACCTTCTAGATGATAGATTTATTTTATGAGACTAGCATTAACCTAATACCAAAACTAGACTATCACAATATAAGGGACAGAACTTAAGACCAATATTGCTCATGAACGTAGATGAAAAATTTATCCAAAATAATTTGTCAAAATATTTGCAAATGAAATTTAGGAACATAAAAATAATAATGTGCTATGAGGTGGGCCTATACCAAAACAGACTTAACAAAAATCAATTACTAAATCAAGATGAAGCTCAATGTCAAGAGTGCTTTCCAGGCATTTGTATGGTCCTGGGTTTAATCCGTAACACCAAAAAAAATCAGTGATCATCACCATAGTAATAGATTAAAGAAGAAAACCTACATGGTTGCATCAACAAATACAGAAACAGCAGTTCAAAATTAAATACCCACTCATAATTAAAATTTTTCAGCTAGCAGAATGGAAGTAGAAGGGAATTTCCTTCAGCTGATGAAGAAGGGCTAAAAACCCAGGACTCCCATCACACAAAAAATAAAAGAACAGCTGTTTCCTGGGAGGACTAGAAACAGGAAAGGATGTCCACTCTCCAGGAGCCACTGCGTGGGAGGAGACCCCACTTAGCTAAGTCAACAAAAGGAAACAAATGAAAAGCATGCAGGTTAAAAAGGAAGAAATAAGGCTGACCTTATTCACAGAAGACATCATTACTACACAGAAAGTCCAAGAAATCCGTAAAAAATCTTAAGTGAGCTTAGCAAAAACAGCTGTCTTTCTGTGGAGCCACAATGAAAAATCTGACATTGAAATTTGTAAAACATCATCACTCATAGAAGCTCTGCAAAAAGTGAATGTTTAAATAATAATTCTAGTGAAACATGCAGATATATATCCTAAAACTACAAAATACTAATGAAAGAAATCAAATAAGATATAAATATCCAGGGATAGTGGCGCATGCTTATAAACCCATCACTCAGGCTGAAGCAGGAGGACTGCTACAAATTTGAGGCCAGCCTAGGTTACAAAGTGAGTGCAAGGCCAGTCTGAACTACACAGTGGGGGCCTGTTTCAAAAAAAAAAAGTAAGTTGAGAAACAAATTCTTATTGATTAGAAGACTAAATGTGGTTAAGATGTCAATTCTTCCCAAACTGCACTCTGTAGAATTAACATAATTCCAATAGAAATTTAAACATAAAACTTCAACACGTTTGATGTGACAGTGCACAGCACAAAAAAGGCTGAGGCAAGAGGATCAATGCAAGTTCAAGTCTAGCCCGTGCTACATGGCAAGATTCTGTCTCAAAAAACAAACAAACAAGAAAACAACAACAAAGATGTCCAACATATAATATAGACAAGCACATTCTCACAAAGGAACTATGATAGCTAAAACTTTGGAGGAGGAGCCACTGGGGATTGAACTCAGAGCCTCACACGTTAGGCAAAGGCTCTTCCACTGAGCTGCATTCCCAACCTTAGCAGGAAAATCTTTGTAACTTCCATTTAGGCAGTGAGTTTTAAGTAGGACATATAAAATACAATCCATAGAAGACACACTGGTAAATTGGATTTCAGCAAAATAAAAACTGTTAATGTATGAGGGTGCTGTTCAAGAAACAAAAAGCCACAGACTGGGAGAATATATCTGTAGTATCTCTCAAATGACATATACTCAAAAACCTATAAAACCGAAAACAATCTAATTTTTAAAAAAAATTTGCAGAAGACTGGAACAGGCACACTTTGCCACCTGGCCAGTGAACTCGTACTGGGGTCTGATTCAAGTTGGCACAGCGCCTCATGCCTACCAACAGCACACAAACAGACACAGTTTGAATACTTTAAAATTTTTCTACAAAGTGGAGGAATTTCATTTCCAGAATATGCTGAAAAATTATCTCTTCCATCTTTCAACCAAATTGAAAATTCTTAATTTCACGCAAGTATCGGTAGAAAGAACAATAACTTGAATAGTCTCCAAAATTAACAAACAAAGCTTCAGCCAAACATTCCACATTCCAATCCATTTCTTTCATCTGTTAGAAAACAGGGAGACACTGTCTTCACCAGAACCTGGTGTTTCATGTTTGGCATAAAGAAAGAGAATAAGAATAAAATCAATGTTAGAAGAGACTAAGAATAATCGTCCTCATGACTATTCCAATTCTACCTGAAATGCCAAGCACGTGGTCAGGCCCCGGAGCACTACATGAGATGTTGCTCTTCCTGGCTCTACACCTCTAAACCTGCAAGGGGTCTGGGAAGACAAATATTCTGGTTTCCACTTCTGAAGGTCAGGTCAACTTCAGCATCTCAATGTTCTAAAGGGATTCAGAGATTGGCTGCCAAAACCCAGTCACTCTAAAGACAGATGAGCACAGAGTCAGAGAAAGCAGAGAAGGTTATTCAGATGTTGCAAATATTCAAGTGGGCCAAATTACATAAACTAAAACACAATATTGCAAATCTGAAGAGCTGTGAATCTTAAGTGTGAAGTCCCTTTAAGCTTCCAGGGAGCAGGACGAGCACAGGAAGTACAGTGAGGAAGGCAGAGCTGAGTTCAGAAGCAGAGAAGCAGCAACTTGGCCTTCTAGGATGCCCAGCTCAGAGGTGCGTGTCTAAGGTGCACCTCTTATTCAATTACCCTAGTGTGAACCTTTTTAAAAAGCCTTCCTGTTTCAAGTCACAGAATTTCAGAGCTGTATAGCACCTTAAGCTGCCTCATCCATTATCTTCACTAGCTTGGGAAAACTTCTCAGGAGAAATGGAGAAAATGAAGCAGGCTATTTGGATCCCAAAGTCATTCTACAAATTGAGTACAAATGAAACCAGCACAGAGATCAGTGCACAAGGAGGATATTTCAGTCGATGAAGAACCATACATGAAATGGTAACTCAAAAGACATCACCTCATGACAATGCAGCTTCTCAGCTTGTGCACGCAGTCTCTGTGATGCTCTGCAAAACTGCAAGGTCACCCAAGGGCTGCTCAGAACCCAGCCTCATTAAGAAATGTGAGGCTGGGCCTAGGCTGAGGGCTCATCTTAGCCCTAAGCTCCAGGCACACCCAACTTGAAGCCAGGTCTCTGAGGTGTGCTCAGGACTGGACCTGTGCTCCTCCCCCTGGATGTTCTGTGGCTGTGGCTGGCTAGAGATCAGGTTTCCATTCCTTGAGGCAGCAAAACCAACCCCGGAAGGGCTGAAGAGTGGAGAAAGTCTGCAGTACTGTGAGGTGAAAGGTGAGAATGACCTAAGGCAGCCAAATATCTAGCCTATGGTTTAAACATGGGTGTGACAGCCTGAGAATTTTTTCATAAGAAGCTACCAGGACTCTGCCTTTTTTTTCCTTCCCTATCGTCAGTGTAGCCAGAGGAAAATACCATATTTCATCAAATCCAAAATGCCATCATGTGTTGGTCAGCTTTTAATCACTGCTCAAATACTTGAAGAAAACAGCTTGACGGAGCAAGTGTTCACTTTGGCTTATGGTTTCTGAGGTTTCAGTTCGTGGACTGGCTCCACTGCTTTTATAGGCCTGCGGTCAGGGCATGGCAAAGGAAAACTGTTTACCACATGCCAGCCAGGAAGCAGACAGAGAGGAGCCAGGGACCAACAATAGTCGTTAAAGAAAAATCCCGTGTCCCCCTCCCTTCCTATAGGTCATACCTCTTAAATTTCCATTACTTCTCAATAATGTCATCAAATTATGAACTCATAACGGATTAATTCATTGATGAAGTCAGAGCCCCTATGATCCAATCAGTTCCTCAAATCGCCACCTCTGAACACACACATTTTAGGAGGATGTTTAGATATAAGCTGGAACACATTTATTATAATACAAATGACAAATAAAATCAGCCCAATGCAAATATAGCATCAACTTTAAGATGCACTCCAAATTCAGAAATGTTATAATGGGGGGGGCATATACTGTAAAATAAAATGACATACAATTAGATTTTCTATTGGTATTTAGCTCAAGGTGAGTATAGGGCAGATATTTCTTTTCCATAACTTTTTTTTCAGTGCTAGGGCTAGAACCCAAGACCTCAAATGCTTTACCACTGAGCTATATCCTCAGTCCCACTTTTTGCAACTTTTTATTCTGCTGTAAACTCAATTTATAGAAAAGTAGCATGAACAATGACAGATTCTGCTAGCCTGGGGTTTAGCTACATCCTCCCAACTTGGTACCAGACCCAGAGAAACAACTTATCTCTCCAAGAGTAACTTCTGCATTCTCCTTCTCATTCCAGAGATAAACCTCCTGCTCCCTTTTTGCCCATGCACAGAGCCCTTTCCAATCCCAAGATTTCATAACCACCCAAGCCTCCGCCTCCAGCCCCCAGTAATTCTGTCTCCTGTCTTACACAGGCAGATGCTCCTTCAAATCAGCAGTTAATATGTCATTTTGCCCACCTCCCAAACTCCTCCCCCAGCCAAAACTGATAAAAATAGTCCCACCTCTTTGTTGTTTGCGAGTCTCTGTACCCCCTGCGCTGTGAAGCTCTCCTGTGCCCACATTAAAGGTCTCCACCTTTGTCTCTTTATCTCTCTCATTTTCTCTGCGCTGCTTCAGATTAAGTGCCAAAAATAATCAAACAGTACAAACCTCTCTCAAATATCCCCTGACTCTTCTGATTTTTAATGGTTCTAACCACCAAGCCCATGGCACCATGGCACCCTTTTCTCCTTCCCTCCTTCTCTCTGCTCTCCTCTCTTCATCTGAGATTCGGTCTTCATGCACCATCTGTACAACCTTCAGTACACACTGACTTAACTAAAGGAGACACTCACAGAACAATGATCAACTCAGGAGACACAGTAGTGCCGTCTAATCCTCTGTTCACACTCAAATTTTATTCACTGTCCACAACGACCTTCACTGCCTTCTTCATGCAGGCCAAGATCCAGTCCAGGATCAAGTACTATACTGCTGTCCTGTCTTTTGACATCCCTTTTAACTGGAACAGGTCCTTAGTCTTCCTCTTTCATAACTTTGA